TTGGAGTGAGCGGGTCCTAGGTTTAAAAACAAAAGTGTGTTCATGCGGCAACCTTGAGGTCCCGTTCCATCAGGCTTTCTTCCTAATGTGTCCCCTGCTTAGCATGACCCTGAAGCGCGGACTCTCGACGTTGCATTGCACCCAACAGACCCTGGCGAGCCCTAGACCCCAGGCTTAATTGGGCACTTCAACTCCGGCATATCCAGACAGAAGTTTTCGCAGGCAGGAGCAACACATTGGAGCATGCAACAGCAACACTTCACCTCATCTTCGCGGAAGAAGTTCGTTACAGGGGTGGGTGGGGACAAAAGCAAAATTCACGTCCATCTTGCGACTGAGCTCTACGCACACCAGCAAGGCGAGGCACATTCAAGCGCAGTAGACAAAAATGCGTCACTGCTAGTGGCTGATGTGTGATCAAGTTGGCTTGTGACATAGACGATGGCTATAGTGGGTTGCAACCATCCTCCTGCAGGTTGTGTGTGGCTGTCCGTTTGGTTTGGCTTCTGCAGAGGAAAAAGCCTCTTCCAGGCATGCTTACACCACCCCTACCTGAAGTACAAGTCGAGCCAATACAGATTGCCGAAGGATCGGGCGGTGACTCCGGACTGGAAGCAAGCAGCATGAAATTTCAAGCAAGGGGCGGGCCGAAAAAGTACCTCTACAGAATCCCTATTGGACCCCATAATCCTCTTGCATCCCCAAACATGCGTGGAAACCCCAGAAGCTCGCCAGTTGGAGAATAAGCCACGTTTGTGTCATTACCATGATCAGCACATGTGGCAAGCTTTTTGCCCAATCCGCGCGGCATGTTCTGGTGAAAATACTGCTAGAGATGAAACGATATTCGTTGGCACTCGTCCCAGACAAACGGGACGAGCATACACTGCGAAAGCTAATGCGCGAGCTCCGTAGTACATGTATGTGTGCAAGACGAGATATGTGTTTTCCAACTTCCTACTTGGTCTGTGAAGAAAACTGCCCATAAAGCCCCTGCATCAGTCCTGTGAAACCTCTGCGATTTTACATCTAGCTGCTGCTTGCTTCCTTCTGATTCTGAGACCCGCAAAGCAAACCCTGATTGTTGGTAAGCCTAAACCCCATAGATCATCCCTATATGACCCGTATATGGGTCTACGTAACCACTCCATATCCCTATACAACCCCTATAAACATCGCCGCTCAGCCATTCAGAGTCTCATTCTCGGAGCCCTCCTCCTCTTCCTCATCGGAATCGTCCTCCTCCTCGGGGTTTAGTGTCTACTGTACCCCTTGCAGTGGGGGGTCCACCTAATTTGAATTCAAAGGGCTCTGTGGGTCTGAAAGAGGAGGTAAAAGTTACGGAGGGTTGGATTTCAAACGATTACTTCTCGTAGCCTGAACCTACACCCTAAACCCTACATCCTAAATCCTGCACCCGAAGCTTTGCATCCTAAACCCTAAAACCTACGTTTTACATCCTAAATTCTAAACCCCAAACCCTACATCCTAAACCCCAAACCCTACACCCTAAACCCTGAATCCTTAACAAAGCTGCTGGATGGGAGGTAGCCGCGGTTGGCGGGGAATTGCTTTAGGCTCAAAGATTCTGGGCAACACCCCAATGCAACCACAAACTTTTAGGGCTTAGGGATTAGGACTTGGAAGGCCAGGAAACGTTACAAGTTGGGTAAATTGTGGGGATAACTGGCGTTCCTTACCCTAAACCCTAAACCCTAAACCCTAGTGGTTTAAAATACATTTACTGAGTCCCCCTGACCTCCAGGCAAACAGCAAGGCATTAGCCAAGATATTGGTCAGGATGGGTCACGATTGGCAACATTAAGCCATAGGCACAGGGTTTAGGGCTTAGGGTTTCGGGCCTAGGGTTGGCTGGCCCCTATAACCTTTTGAAAAATATTAAGGGTCCCCTATTAAAGCCATTAGGGAAAATATTAAATATCCCAGGGGCCTACCCAGGGGTTTAGGGAGCACCTGACAGAGCCCTAAAAGCCTTAACTGCAGGTGCAGACCTTCTTTTCTGATCCCCTTGCCTCATACCCCCTCGCCCTCAATGAAGAAAAATGACAGTTCCAGCATCAGGCAGAAAAGGATCACGCACCCCAAGCCCTCCTAAATGTGGTGGTGAAAAGGGAAAAACCACCGACGCCACTTCCCAGAGGTCTTCACTCAGCACAAATGTTCGATTTGAACGCAAACACCACAGAGTGCAATGGGAGGCATGGAGCATGTACTGCACAAGTTTGCCCACTGAACTCCGAGTCCACAAAAATCTATGAAACCGTTGGAGCCCTGGACTCTCAGAAGAAGAAAACCCTAAATGCCCCAGCGCGTAAACGTTGAAGCGTGCCACAGGAAGAAACGACTTGAAACACCAACACAACTGTTCAACCTCGAAAAAGATCCTTCTATCCGCAAGCCCCCACCCCAATGCCTTACTTCAAACATGACTGCTTCGCATGACGAAAGCAGTGTGAATGTCCAGCTAGGGCTGAGAGTCTAGGCTTTTGAGTTAAGGGGCAGGGGCAGGGGGAGGGGGGCCAAAGTTCGATTGTCCCAAAGAATTCTTGCTCCTGACTCATCTTGCTCTTCAGGGCGGCAGCACCTCCTTCCAAAAGGACGGGGATCAAGATTCAAGCCTGAAACTCTCACGCCGTCAAAGTCCCCAACAAACCCTCTCGTGGACCAGAATACCCAACTCCAACAGGGGATTGTCAGCGTACAGGAGCACGCATGACCTAAGCTTAACCCGCAAGATGGACAATCCAAAAAATCCCGCTAAACTGCTACCGAGTCACAACCAGTGGTACAGGGCTCACACTACAGCCCCCTTGAAGGTGTCCGAAAGAACAAAACCAGGGACCATACTCATATCTGGGAAACACCCATGACAGCCTAAGAGTCAAATGCACGGCTCTAATATGAGCCCGGCCATCTATCGCAATGTGCTCTGGGTGCTAGTAAAGGTAATACGTTGAAGGTCTTGTTACCTGTTAGCACCAACTACAGAAGCGGAGTTTTTTACCGGGGGGAATTTACCCAAGGGGTATACAGGGACCATGAGGAGTGATGAAAGAGGTATGACAGGCTTACGAGAGGTCCCTGCACGGCAACTCCCCTTCTGTAAATACCTGAGATCTTGGGCCTAAGAAGAAGTAGCAAGCCTGAAATGTCTGCTCCAAGACCGTAAATCCTCGGGGCAACTTCAGAAGCAGCCTTCTTCAGAGGGATAACATGCATGCACGGAGGCTGGATAAGCAAGCATCCACCTCGGGGTCAGCAACATCAAAGCCCCGACACAAGCTCTAGAAGATCTTCATTACGAGGCCGCCCCAACAACAACTTCTGCCAGCCATCAATGGAATTCCAGGAGGCTTGATAGGGGGCCTTAAAGATTAGCCCTGTCGCACCCTTGACCCCCAAACTCTGCACTTGAAAGCCTAATTAACCCAAATGCCTCAAGGTTTCTTTCTAATCCTTACGCCCATGTCCTTCTTCTGCATAATCCGTGAACCCTCAAACAAAACCATATCATCCGTGAAGCCCAAGCCCTTACACCCCAAACCTGAATCCCCAAGCCCGAAACCAAAACCATGCTAAACCATAGCCCCTTCACAGTCCTCCGCAGATTCCCAGGCCAAGAACACCCCCACCAACAGCCATCGCCCAACCCAATGTCTGAGAATGCTCACCTCATTTCAGAAGATGCCTTCGTGTACAGTTGGGGGGTTGCCAGATCACTATAATCTTTAGTGTAGAGGGTTGGGGGTTCGGGCTTCGGGATTACAAGGGCTCGTTCGTACCTAGGAGGGAAGAAATCGCCCACAGTCCCCATGCCCCAATTCACGATTCGGTCACGAAGGAGAGGATGAACTGGCAAATGCATGGCAAAGCCCCAGGTCCGAACCACTGAAATTCCTGAATTATGCTCCCGCTCGGGAGGCAGTAGGGGGATAGTTCGTGAACCCTTACACCTCTCTATGACGAACATCTGGGCAAGGCCAAACGCCTGAATGCAAACCCTAGACCACAAACCTGGAAGCATTAAATGAGGCGAGCCACCAAGAACATCCTTCACATTGGCAGACTGGGCTTCTGCCCTTGGATGCTTTCTGAGGGTTGGATCTTCGGAGAGTTTTAGAGCTCCAGTGCTTACAGCCAACAGAAGGTAGATAACGCGATGATCTTCACGATTCGACAAGCCCCACAGAAGAAGTAATAATGAATGCGCGCACACCCCTAAAAAAGCGCGCTTGTTGAGTCGTCATGTTCAGGCGGGTGCAAAGGTGCGCAGGCGACACAAAGAAATGGCTTCAGAAATTGGCCCATGCAGCAAGGGTCTCAGGGCAAAGGGTTCCAAGTCCTGGGCATAGGTCTAGCACATGTCCAGATATGCCAAAGCAAGATTTGTTCAAATGGCTCGGGCACCATACGTGTTGCATCTTCACACCGAGTTTATGTTGCATATCTTGGGCTTTCGTGACCCATCCACGTTTTGCAAAAAAGCGCGTTCAAAATGTGGACCTTTATCCATGTGTAACTATGAAAGCCCAGGTCCTGGCCATTGTGAGCTGCCATGCCGTTATATTGGGGAAACCCTAATATTTACTACAGTATATATATATATATACCCATTATGGTAACTTAATTTAAGGCTTAGGGATCCCAACGAGAGCATTCTCAACACTGAAATCTTTGAATGACCCATGGATTGTAGATCTGACTCTGTCAATCTCCGGCCAGTTGCGGGTTCGACCATATTCCCAACAAAATGAACATGAAGAATGAAACGCTTTTCTAATTCAGACTTCAGTCTTAGGAGCGGCCAAAACCAATATGCTCAGGAAGCGAGTCAAAGGTTGCTCCCTTAGACGCCCGACCTGTGCTCCTGTCATAGAAGCTAAGAAAGAACCTCGACCGAAAACCTTAAACCATCATTGAAACCATAACACGGACTACACGGATTGTATTTTACAGTTTGCATTCCATGGACAGGCCAGCTACGGGCATCCTTGAGCAATGGCTTCCTCTGCGGTTGGCAAGGTTGCAGGACAGTTGCCCACAATGTCTGTCACCTGAGTCCACGGGGCCAGTGGAATGTTTGCGGTAAGGCCTAGCTGGGGGACCCAGTGATTGGACATCTTGCATGCTCAGAGGACTTCATTCGGGGAGAGGTGAAAGTTCCAGCGGGGAGCTTGTAAGGATTTCTACGCATAGATCTGCTACCTCACAAGGGGAGAATTTATGGGTGTATGGACGAGGCGCCTTTAAGACACAACTACAAGCCCGGCTGTGGTGTGGTGTCCCTCAGGATGCTTGAGAAACCTTTCAACTGTATAATTCCCCCTTCAGTAGATAGAACATGGGGTATATGGGGATCTTATTATGTTATACCCAAAGCCATATTCTATCTACGTAAGGGGGACTATAAACTGAAAGCCCTGCCCGTCATGACAGGCGTGTCCAGGTCCTGGAGACCCGAAACCGTGTTCTGGAGGCCGATAC